GTGGGAAAATTAAAGATCTGGAGGCCCTGGGGGGCAGAGACGGGGCAATTAAATATCGTGGGCCCCTAGAGATCGGGGCCTGGGCCATTAACGAACGGGGGCCCCTGGAGATCGGGGGCGGGGCAACTACATGTTGGGGGTCCCTGTAGATCGGGGCTGGGGCTCCTACAAATCGGGAGCCCCTGAAGATCGAGAGCCCTGGTTCAATGTACCGCCGGCAGTTACGCCACTGGGATTGACTTGATTGAAAAAATGTAAATTTTTGATTCCTTGTTGTGAGTCTGTACAGTTGTATTGCCAATTTGGTAGTATCGTTTCTTGATGATTCTAGCAGCTGACTTTGGCTGTCTCTGTCTCGTTAAAATTCCTTTCATGTTTCGTGCACCAATCAGAGCATTAGCTAACAAAAACAATATAAATACAAAATGTATTAGAATTTTATTTATATATTTTGATGGTTATAAAATAAATTGTATAATTCATTCAATTTCAATATTTGTTTTTTATTTCCTTGTTTTGTATAGCGCTCTAAGGATTCCTTAAATGATCCATGTTGTGTCATAGACACTCCTCACACAAACTGATTAAACCAATAAAAACACTTCTTGCAGAGATTATATACAATAGTACTGTATTGTACAGATGCAATTCCTCATTTAAGTGTTAAACACATACTTTGAGCTGTCGAGAAATCTGCAAAATTCCAGATCATCTCTCCAACAAAGAATTCGCTCCTGACTTCATCAAACACCTTGAAATACTCTGTTAAAAGATCTATTTGGTATTCCTCACTAAACATCATTGGGGGATCCTAAAAAAATAACAATAATTACATAGTATGGATTTATTGCATGCCTCAAATAATAGATGGATTGATGATTGATAAATATCGATCTGCTAGGGGCCTATTTTTTATGAGGACCAGGGGTTGTTCGGTGTGTGTTGTTTGGCCAATAGAAACCTGTGTCTTAACCTGTGATCTCCCAAACATAGTCTAAAGTCTGAAAAAAACAAATCGTTTGCACATCATCGTACAACCAGAACACCACCTTTGGCGTTGACACTCGGGGGACACTTTTCCGTAAAAGGAGGGGAAATATATCTTTTAACACTACATCAAACCCCTATTAAGGGGACACATCTACTAAGGGCACTGGCGGATCTGGGTTCAAATTTAGGGGAGTGGGGTACAAATGTTTAAAGAAAAAACCCAAAAAGAGGGTGGTCCGGGAGTCCTCCCCCGTGAAAATGTTGATTCCTAGATTGCGGAAAATGAACTTTCCTGGAGTTCTTCCAAATTTAAGGTTTTCCTCTACTGGAAGCTTTTCTCATTCTCATTACAGTAAATAGGCCTATATGTGTGTAGGCCTACTGGTATACATACGTTGCATACGTATTCTGTTGTTCTATGAATCGATAAACCCCAAAGAAAATGGTGGTAGATGGGTCCTCCCAATTTTCATTCATAGATGACGGGAAATGATCTTTCCCGATTTCTAATTTTTTCCATTGTAACAACAAAAACATATTAAGCTCACGGGTCCTGAAAAGGTAGGTCTAGGATTTGTTACTGTATCAAGACAACTAAAGTAATTTCAAAATAAGAAAAAATCCTTCACATTTATGTATATCACTTTTGTAATTTTAATTACATATCTGTTGATGTCATATCATAAATTAATTAATGATTTTGCATTGCAAATTATTGTTATACATTAGTTATAATTCAACTGTAACTTAGGTCGATTAAAGTGAAATAGACTATTTATCATTGTATATATATATTACATAGGCCTATCTGTTGATGTCAGATATATTACATATCTGTTGATGTCATATCATAAATTAATTAATGTTTTTACATTGCGAATTATTGTTAAACATTAGTTATAATTCAACTGTAACTTAGGTCAATTAAGATGAACTTATATAGCATACAATTTATCATTGTATGAAAATATGCCAAAACCCCTATTAAGGGGACAATTTCACATTTTCGTTAGGGGTACCCCTATTCAGGAGACACCCTATTAAGGGGACATTTTGTAATCCCGAAGGTGTCCTCTTAATAGGGGTTCCGTAGTTCTATGTTGTGGTACAACAATGGAACAAGACGGGAAATAAAGGAAAAGCTTACCGTGTGTAGCCCTGGTAGGGCATCTGAACCATATTCCGCTTGGATGACAGGGCGTTGGAACTTTTCAAACCATGCTCTGAGATTGGTACTAGCTTGGTACTGTATAACCTCTAAGCGGCCTGGATTACCATACCAAGAGAAGTAAGTGTTGAGACAAATGACGTCTCCATACATTGCCTATAATAAGGAATATAGAAAGATATAGATATACTTTTAATATAGGTCTATGACTATTATACACAGGATACAGGCGCAGATCCAGTAGGGGTACGTCTCCCATCCACCATTTTTCCAATAACTTTTAATGCTTATATTGAAATTAACGCTATTCACTTTTCTATTCCGAAAATGTTGTGCCCCCCAGTCTCCTTCGTTTGAAAAATTCTTGATCCGCCCCTATGATATAATACAGTATTGTAATGGTAAAACTAATTTTATGAATATCCCAAAAATGAATGATTGTACGTAATAGCCATTTTGATATAGTATGGAAACACTCACTGCATTATCAAATTCTGGTTTTAGATTTCCTCCTGTCACTAGCGTAACTGGTCGAGTACCATCCAATGTCCGTGTATAATCAACGACACGCCTAGTATAAAAAAAATGATGCTAGAAAATGTAGGGACGTAATAACAGATCGTGAGAAACATCAGTGGGGTGCACAGGGGATCATTCCCCCAAAAATAATTTCCCCATCCCTCATTTTCCCCGAATAATCACGCTCAAGTAGTTAACAATCATTTAAAATCACCAAATCATCTTGCCTCTCCCGTGACCTTCGCCTCCCCCATTCCATGACTCCTAGATAACCACTCAGATAACATGAAATTATAATTACAAAAAAACAGTGCGAAAGGTGAGGCAATTTTAATATTTTTGCCGGTATAGTCAATTAGCCTATATTCAAATATGGTTGTACAATGTGTAGCAAAGGCCTGCTGAAGTGACGCAATGGGAGGACGAATGCTTACTTGAAGTAAGCACCTGCCTCAACCAGTGTTGCGTTTGGTTCATTTGCTACAGACCACATGACAACGGACGGATGGTTCTTGTCCCTAGTTACGAGTTCCTCCATGACAGCCAGATGGTGTTGCAGTGTAGTATCGCTAAAATTATCCACCCTAGAGAAACAATAATCACCATTATCATAATCAAATATCACCATCGTCAGCATCTTCACCGTAATCATGATCCACAATCGTCATTATCGTCTTCATCGTAATCATCTTCATCATCATCGTCATCTTCATCGTCGAAATCCATCGTCGTTATCATAATCATCATCTTCTTATCGTCATAATAATCTTCGTTACCGTCATTGTTATCATCATCATTATCATTATTATCATCATGCACTGTTTCTGCCTTCATTTAATGAACTGACTGAATGGGCGACTTACGTTTTCATTCCAACAGCAGTACTCTCATCAATGACAACGATGCCATGGCGATCGCAGAGGTCCATGATCTCCTCTGCATATGGATAATGACTTGTGCGGAATGAATTGATACCTAACCACTTCATTAGGTTCAAGTCCTTGATCATTGTAGGATAATCCAATCCTTTTCCTCGAATCTTCAACAAACAGTTTTAAAAAAAGAATCAGTCACGGTGAATAATTATAGAAAAGTAAATTCTCTTCCTTTAAGTGTGCTTTGAAGACGCACCTTTTTGGTGTGCACTCTAATTTTTTATGTTTAGTTTTTGTCATAGGCAGCTAGATAACCACACCATTATGGCATGCTGTGAATAATGTACTGGCCGGTCGTGCACCTTAAATTGCCGGTGAACGGTGCGGTGGTGATGGTTTTTCACTTTCTTGGTGGTCTTGGTTAGTTTTAGGTTATTTCGTGTTTTAGTTTTTTGGGGGTTTTTTCTATTTTTCTGTTTATGTGAAGCGCATAGAAGCTCCGGCATTATGCGCTATATAAATATAACATTATTATTATTATTATTATTATTATTACTTTATAATTGAATATTACTATTATTGTAGTAGTGAATGTTGTATAATATTACAGAAATATAGGAAGGACTTACATCAGCATCTTCATGTTTTCCGACACCGAGGAAGTAGAATGGTTTACCATTGATTAGAAACTTTGTCTTTGTTACTTCTACCGTGCGAATGCCGACAGCGACATCATACATGTCTTCATCGGATCCATCTTCTATTTTCACCTTTAAATAATAAAATGTGTTGCTTAATGAACCCATTAATCATCATCATCGTCGTCGTCGTCATCATCAACATCATCACCATCATAATCATCATCATAATCATCATCATCATCATCATCATCATCATTACCATCATCATCATCATCATCATCATCATTTATGATTATTAATGTTGTCATTATTATCGTATCGTTAAATCATAATCATAACTATTATTATATTCTAAGTATTAGAATATCATAATTTACCTTAAGGGTATACAGGTATGCTGGATGTTCACTCATTGTGCATGGCCACCACAGATGGGCATTGGAGACATTCAGCTGACCACTTGCCTTCTGACCAACGGCCACTTTCATCCCTTCTGCATCAAACAACCTGATGGTGTAAGTGACAGGTGAACTGGCGCCTTCAACACGTATGTTATAATTTACTATTCCTATGAAAATTAATAAAAAAGCAAAGATATTTACACCAAGCAATAGATGACGTGCAGGAAACATGTTACGAAAGCCAGGAAATGCAAAGATAGGCCTACAGCAGTCCTATACCTTTACATGGAATTTATTTACTAATATCTTTAGCCAGGATGACACAATCATTTTAAAGAAATGTTTTTCATTGTGGTCCTGGAATAGGCCTACAGATACGAAGCTAGGCCTTCGAAAAGTGAAAGAGGGTTGAGAGGGGACAGTTGGGGAGGGCCAGGGGTTATTGATGGTAATCTGAGGAGAAAAAACAGTTATGGTTGATACGGATTAGTTAAGAATAAGCAAGATATATTTGAGGAAGGTATGGCCTATAATTGGAAAGGTTATATAATATATTTATTTTAATTATATTTTTGGCATGTAAAACAAAGGGGTTGAGCTAGAGATGTGTTTAGGGCCTATCCAATATCTGTCAATGATAACTCCATATTAATTGTAAATTTAACAATTACAGTGTATACACAGACAAACCAGGCCTCTTCCCCCACTTTTATTTATTATGTTTTTGTATGATCGGAAAGAAATGCAAGAATAGAAAGAGGGAAGAAGAAGGAGAGGGGAAGGGAGGGGAAAGTGAGTGTTTATCCAGTCCCCGCCGACCGAGTTACATTTTCTCACCATTCACATTGGCGGATAGGGGGGTCATCGGTCCCTACCCCCTCCCTTGGGGGAAAAAAGAAAAAATAATAAAGAAAAAGAATTCAAGACTTACCTTTTCAGGACCATGAGCTGAATTTTTTGGTTACAATAAGAAATAAGAAAATTAGGAGTCGTGAAAGCTCATTTTCCGCCTTCTAGGAATCAACATTTTTCCGGGGAGAAACAGAAACCCCCTTTCACTTTGGGTTCATTGCTTCATGGAGTCATTTTCAAGAGGGGGTAAAACCTTGAATTTTGAAGAACTTATAAGTCATTAAAAGACACATCACAAGTCTGGTAAGCTCATTTCCCACCATCTAGGAATCAAAATTGTCCCGGGGAGAACCCCGGACCCCCTTCCTTTTTGGGATTTATCGATTCATGGAAAAAAATACGTATGCAACTACTGTACTAAATTTTATTTTTTCAAATGTATGTATACATACTTAAAATAAAAATGAGAAAAATTTACCTGACCGTTTTCAATTATCATTATTATTATTATTATTATTATTATTATTATTATTATTATTATTATTATTATTATTATTATTATTATTATTATTATTATTATTGTCATGCAGCCAAGATATCCAGGCTTAATGCATTGTTTATTTTTTTAGTGATACGATAATCAATCTTTTTTGGAATCCGTATGACAATAGAAAGTCATTACAATTTGATAATTTTAACAAATATATTATAAATACAATAAAGTTAGTAAGAAAAAAATAATTTACATATAAATTAAATATTTAACAAAAACTATTCATTATTAAAGGTCAGTTTTATTAAATATATGGCTTAGTAAAAATCATAAATATTTATACAACTTTTATGATCATGATTTCAAAAAGGCTGTATAGCCTATTATTACAATTTCAACGTACCACGATAGAATTATAATGAGCACTCTCAAATTTTAAAAATATACTTTGTTTCGCTGTCTTCCAAGTCCTTGGTGGAAAAAAAATAAAAGAATGAGAAAATTTACCTGACCGTTTTCAAGAGAGGAAAACCTTTAATTTTGAAGACCCTAAAAGTCAATAAAAGTCATTTTAGAAGTCGGGAAAGCTCATTCCCGCCATCTAGAAATCGAAATTTTCCCGGGGGAAACTTTTGCTTTGGGGTTCATCGATTAATTTAATCGTTTTCAGGAGGGGGAAAATCTTGAATTTTGAAGAACATAAAAGTAATTAAAAGACACCTCAGAAGTCGGGAAAGCTCATTTCCCGTCTTCTAGAATCAAATTTTTTTCCCGGGAAGGACCCACGTACGGACTCACCCTTTCTTTTTGGGATTTATCAATTCATGTAAAAAGAATATGTATGCAATTACTCAATTACTTAGTTTGAAATGAATTGGGCTGCTGAAGGAGGGTGACAGACTATTTAAGGAGGAAAGGGTATAGGCCTATTAAATGAAGGGAATTCAGTTGTGAAGGGCGAGGAATTTGATGATTTTTATTTATTTATGAGAGGTTTGTCAGAGATAGTGTAATATTAGTGTAAATTACCAGTTGTCCCTGATATCTTAGTGACAACTGTGATGTCACTGATGTATAGCATAGGTGTAGTATACAGCTTGACAGGTCGATGAATCCCTGCATAATTGAAGAAGTCCGTTTGAAAGTTTTGCACAAAGTAACCTTTCGGGTAGCTGAAATAAAAATGTTTGGATTACGAAGTTGTTAGTATAGGCCTACTTTATATATTATATATTGTATTATTTTATATCATTGTATTAATTGAATTATACAACCCAACCCAGCCTCACCGCAGCAGCAAATAAGTTTATCCAAACGTGAAATTGTTTAGATAAAAGATAAAATAGCAAAAAATCCGGAGCTTTAGAGGTCACCCCAGTAACAATCCTTTTGGACCATAAATACTTCATTGGCATGCTTCACGCGTCACCCCCGCGCTAGGCAAATGTATACTGGATCCCGAAAAATTATGACAAATAAAAGTTAAAAAATTTAATTTATTCTAATTGATTTGGTCTATGATCTGTGTAATATTTGTACACTTACTGAAGATCTATGGTGGGGGTATGGGGAGGTTGTAGGGGTGGGCCCTTATAATGATGTTAATACTCACTGACTTTGATGTTTTGGGTAAGTAATAGTACCAGGGGGTAGTGTGTAAGGGGTCAGTGTGTTGTTGATTGCGGCAGTTAGTCGATTAGAATATCCAAAATTCAGAAGATGCGTAACCTCAGCTTGGAAAGGAAGATGTCCGCCCTCGTGTGCTGCAACTTGTTTTCCGTTCAACCACTGTAACAGGAAACATCAAATTATCTGCAAAACCTTCAGTGATTAGGTATCGGCTTATGCATTGTTCAAATAATAATAATAATAATAATAATAATAATAATAATAATAATAATAATAATAATAATAATAATAATTATTATTATTATTATTATTATTATTATTATTATTATTATTATTATTATCATTATCATTATTCAATATTATCAATATTATTATTGTTATTATTATTATTATTATCATGCAGCCAAGATATCCAGGCTTAATGCATTGTTTATTTTTTTGGTGATACGATAATCAATATTTTTTGGAATCCTTTTGACAATAGAAAGTTATTACAATTTGATAGTTTTACCAAATATATTATAAATACAATAAAGATAGTAAGAAAAATAATTTACATATTAAATATTTAACAAAACTATTCATTATTAAAGGTTATTTTTATTAAATATGGCTTAGTAAAAATCATAAATATTTATACAACTTTTATGATCATGATATCAAAAGGCTGTATAGCCTATTATTACAATTTCAACGTACCACGATAGAATTATAATGAGCACTCTCAAATTTTAAAAATATTCTTTGTTTCGCTGTCTTCCAAGTCCTTGGTGGAAAAAAGTTCTTCTCATACCAAACCCATCCAACAAAGTCCCGCAGCATTCTATCTTGCGTGATGTCATTAAAACTTGACGGAACTGGCATGTCAATCACATCACCTGTCTGAAAAGTGTCAATCATCTAAATGTAAATGTGCAAATGCGACGCTCACTCATCATGACGAGTCTCGGCAAAACGTTTTTTTAAAAACAGGATTAGGCCGATCGCTGAGGGGAGGTGGGGGCTAGATACCCGACGGGAGGATCCCCGACGAGAGCAAAGTGGATATGGTCGGCTCACTCAAATTGTTTTGAGTGGTCAGGGGGAGAAGCCCCCGGAAAATATGACACTTTAGGGGTTTCAAACGCTTGTATAATCGATTTTATAGATAGATATAAATTCTAATGTAGAATATATTTTTTCTCTCCCCGACGCCACCCCTGTTAGAACAGGCAATGAAATTAGGCCTATTAATAAATATGTTCCACCGTTTGGAAAGAGGAAACCTGGTCGCCAGCGCATTCTGTTTTTACATCCAGCGACTTTTGGGTGATCCTGAGGGAATGCTGCAGCCACACCAAATTATCTCAATGGCTCAAGACTCAATGGCTCAAAACTGAAAAAAAAACTTGTGTCGCCTGCTCCGCAGTCGACTGATGATGAATAATAATAATAATAATAATATGGGCCATCATACGGTAATTAATATTATCATCAAAGATGTATTAAATAAAATCTGGGAAAAACTCAAGTATTAAGTTAAATATAAGCTATAAATTTTCAGTTAGACAAATCGAAAAAATAAAACTTTTTGCAGATGAACATTTATTTTTTAATGACGAGAATGCCAGTCTAGACTATTAGGCCTAATATGCATAACGTTGAGCAATTAAAATTATTTATGTGTACATATTGAAATCTACTGAATAAAATGGCATAAAGCATTTTAAAAAGAAAGACAATAAACCACAAAACTTAATTAATGTCCTACAGAAATGGGATTTTAATATAGTCAATTTTACTGATGCGTATAGAAAGCTGGAAGAATAACGTTAAAGAAACATGTGCTGGTAGAAGACACTGTTGAAGGGGATGAATTGAAAACGGCAGTGATGGATCGAGGGAGCTGGAGAAAGAACTTCGTCCATGTCACCGATAAAGTCGGATGTGGTTAAGTAAGTAAGTAAGAATCCAATCAAACAATAACTTTTTTGGAAAGGGAAAATCGAGATCCGACTTTGGTTCATATTATTGATATTGAAGCTTACCATGGCTAGGGGTCTTGTATACCACTGTTTCTCAAAACCTAAGTTGCGTCCGTCTGATGTATCAGCTCTGAATTGCCATATTCCGCCGAGTTCTCTAACTTCACGGGATTCCGTTCCTTTAGTATACAGCATGCAGTCGGATTTCAAAACGTAAAAAATCAACAAGTGAATCAAAGTTTGTGTAAACATTTTCCAGGGAGACCTACGTTATGTGTGTCTCCTCCTCACTGCACTGATACTCTTCTAATGAAATTATCATCGTATCACCAACAGTCAGCACCATCAAAAGACGTTTAATTATATGAAAAAAATACAATAGGATGATTAATAATTATTCTTTGAAATTTGAATTTTAATTATTTTGGTATTGTATTGTATACACCAAAGGAGGACATACCAAATATCACAGTGCCAACTTTGAGGGCGCTATACTCTCAAACGGCACACAAAAAAAAGCCGAAAGACAACCAATTTTAAATGCGATGCGACTAGGCCGGCTATGGATTAGTGTTTTTCGGAGATTATTATTGCCAATGTTAATAAGAGTATCGTAAAAAGGTAAGATGAAATCATCGGTTCTGAAATATTGTAAGCATTTTTTTGAAATCTTGGTTATGTTATTAGTAACGTAGTGATTTCAGATTTAATATGAGGTCAGGTGGTGGAATAGCTGGTGGTGATGATGAGTGTTGTGTATGTTGTGCGCGGAAATGGTCTTCTGATCTGGTGCTGTGATGGGCGGGTCCATTACCTGCCACTATCCTGCAGCGGGCCTAGCTTGGGCAGGTGGTTTTGGTAACATCAAAATTTTAATTAGTTAAGGATTTGGGTGGAATGTGGACGGAGTTTACTAGTGTAGAATGTCACAGGGAAGACTGTTTTTTGCACTTTCTTGATAATGTTGAGCAACATAGTCCATGGATGACCAGCTTGACCGCTAGCTAGGCCTAGGTTCTTACTGTAATTTTGTATTTTGTATTAGACTAGGGGTAGAACCTAGGCTAGCTAAGGCCCTATAAAAAATATTATTATCACCCTATCTGGGCAAGAAAAGTCATGAGGGAGGGAGGCTTTTTTTTTTTTTTTTTAATTTTGCTAAAGCCAAATTGTAACGGGAGTTACTATTAATTGTTATGGTTTTGCATTGTGGGTAATAGTGACGTAATGTCACATGATGAGTTACCGCGAGAAGGCGGAAGACAGACTGGTGTGATGCCTCGTTGCGAGAGGTCGGTCTCAGGTCTTGAATAAAATGATGTTCGTACATGTTAATCATTTGCTGTTGTAGTATTATTATTTGGTGGCTTCTCCCGTGTTTAAGTAATGCAATATTGCTAGACTGGATCGGACATTACAAATATCACCCTTGGGTTGTTTGCTGGTGCATTGATATTCAAAGTAAAACATGATTTAGATAATGCAAACAATCAATATCTACTAACTATTTAAAAAAAAAAAAAAATGTAAATTTTTTTTTTCAGTAGGCCTACCATAGAAGGCATGTGCCAATCAAATCTAGCTTTAGTGCAAGACTAAACAAAGTTAATTTTTATAAGCTTTTATTAATTTAATCACACTACACTTGTACCAATAATTTCACCAAGTTACTGTTTTCTCCTCAGTACAGTATTTAATTAGTTGCAAGAATTTGAAGGCGAAGAGCATCATTCTAATAAAATTAAAATGTTCAAAAGAAAGAAGAAAGACAAGGCTGAGAAGGAGAGAGATAAATTAGACAAGAAGTTAAGTAAAAAGGATAAAAAACATGAAGAAAAAATGACACCAGATGAAATGAGGAGATTCCAGGAAGTTTACACAAATTATCAAGTGCCAACTAAAGATAAAAAAGGGAGTTTTCGTAAAACGTTTGGTAAAGGTGATTCAGCCGATACTGTTTCCAGATCCTCTGAGGGATCCAATCGTAACTCACTGATCAGCACCCAGTCCACTGACAGCGAAACGAGTCTGAATGTTGAGCGAGAAAAACTTGTCGATGGAAGTGGCCGTCAACTTCCAAATCCACCTGTACCTAAGCCAAGAACAAAAAGCATATTAAAAATGAAATCTAATTATGGCCCGGTTGATGAAACAGAGGGAAAAGTGTTGAATCTGAGCGATAGTGGAATACTAGCGGAGAATACAATTTATAATGAGCGTTACTCTGATCTTGACGGCAAAGAATCTTTCCAGCAAACCATACCTGAATTAAAAACACCGTCTTTTTCGCAATATCCTGACAAATATGCAGGGTTGGATTTAAAATTGCCTCCAATCATTCCACCAAAACCTCCCCGTACTCGTGAAATTATCCTTCACCGTCAAGTGAATGGAGGTTTCGGGTTTTCTTTGCGGAGGTCAAATATCGAAGAGAGAGCACCAAATGGGAGTATTGTGAAACGTGTAATTCATTTTGCAGAACCCAGTGCATCAATTAAAGAAAATATGACAGGACTTTTACCGGGCGATCGGCTGATTGAAGTGAATGGATTCAATGTGGAAAATGTGCCTCGGGATGATATAATAGTAAAGATTAGAGGTTCTAGTGAAACGGTTACATTGAAAGTTCAACCTATACCCGAGCTTGTTGAATTAAGTGTGCGTTCCAGCTACGAAGGAAATGAAGGTACCCCAAAGAAAAGTGGGTCACTACGCATGAGTGGGAGTCTCCGGCTTGCAAGAGACAAGGTAGGAAACTTCACATGATTAACGAGTTGCATACTATAATGTCTTGTGATAAATTATTTTTATTATTTATTCGCAAATTCTTTTTAATTATAATTCATTGTGATAGAATAGAAATGTTTTGTTGGTAATTTCTTGTGAAAATATCTCATTCCGTACAGTATATTTACTACTGTACTGTACATAGCATTTTTTTAAATTTGTAAATTTATTCACAAAACATACAAGAAACCTTGCACTGCATTTGTTTTTATAATCCATCATATTTGGTTTCGCTACTGTTTCATACGAAAAAGACTATTATTTATGTTATTTTTCATTCTAGTGAGTTTGCCATGGTAGGGCAGGTGTTTTACCATTCTGAAGTAAACAAAAGACTAACAGTGCATGTTCTGTATTATTTTGTGATAGTTCTGTATAAAACAAGGGTGGTTGTCATTCATCTTGGTTGGATACTGAAGCATCTGTCTCTGTATGCTGAATGCAGTCTCAGATCTCTTTGTTTATCTAGTGTGTTCTACTTTATTGTTAAAAAGCTCTAATACCATAAGACTATCCTACTGTAGCTTTGTTTCTTCGAAGAACAAGTTGATGTGTACTGTATTCCAGGAACACAATTCACTACTTGGTACAGTAGTAGTATCATGGATTAGTAGAAAAGCTGTCACAATTTGTTAGTTTTTTTTCCGCAAGAGTAACTCTTTAAATGTCACATAAAACCTTGAAATTATTACAATCAATTTGGTTATTGTTACAGTTACAAACTACAGTAGGTTACAGTACATTTGTCTCAATGCATTGTTACGTGTGTAATGCAAATTACTGCAGACAAAGCAATGCACGAAAGATAGATCGTTGAAGTTAGATGGATGGATTTATTCAATGGGACCACCAAGGATAACCCTTGAATGTCTGAAGAAGACTTATTTTCAGGTCGGAGACAATCGCCTCTCTTTCCAAAAGAGTACAGTATACCGAGTTCTTTAATGATGGGCCATTTTGCACACAGGACCAACTGCTTAAATGTTTCATCCGAAAGACAGTGCACTTTTGGAACTTGCATTTTAATTCTCCAGCTGCAACACAAGGAGAGCAGCGATGGGACTTGAACTAGGGACCAAGAGATGTCCACTCTCCAGCACACACACAGTGGCTACCACCAGTTTAGCCGACTGAGCTAGCTGTTTTGTTACAAAGATGGTTTCGTCTATCAGTATTCTAACTTTCTAAATTGACTGTAATATTTGCTTTGGTTCAGTTTCTGTTTGTTTAATGCGTCATGTCGTGAGATTGGACAGTAGAAGTGCAGTGTGTACAGCACAGCACTGTACAATAAAGTTGTACTTTATTTCAGTACACGAATGTCTGAAGGCTGTCTCTTATACACATCTAGATGTGTATAAGACACTTGTCCCGGTTGCGTCACAGGTCTCTGGTTGAATGAATCAAAATCAGATTATTGTTATTATTATTATATGACTAGCTGTATACAATGAACTATATTAATTGAACTATATATTTTTTTTATTGCATTTTAATGCTTTTTGTACTAGTAAACTTTAGGTCAAGGCCATTTATTATAGATCATATATAATTGATATCATTATGCTATTTATAATTTTTAATGATAAACGGTATTGCAAACTTAAAATTGAAGAAGGCTATTTTTTGAGTAATTGTATATTATTGAAATTTATTAATTTATTTTTTGATTACCACTTCAATGGGTAGTGTCATGTTGCTCTCAAATCTACAGAATACAAGTTTCTGCTAATAATCAAATATATAGAGGGTCTTTCCTCAGCAACAAACATTATAATTTTGTATCGGGTAAGTTACTTAGGGTAGACCTACAATCTTTCCACTTTATGAAACTAAAAAAAAAATCTAAAAAGTTAAGGTCCAATCATGTACTAATTTATTTACATCTGTCATTTCCATTTGAAAAATTTGGCCCTATTAAGTCACCCAGGAAAGAATGACTTAGTAGAGCTTTAAAGTATCCAGTGTGAATAAATGTTTTAATAGGACTTGGCTAACAGTAAGAGGTCCTTCACCAGGTTAGGTCCTTCACCAGGTTATTGCACAATAGATTCTGGAATGCAAAATGGACAATAAGGGGCTATTGCATTGCGTTTACTTTGAATTGATTAAGCAGCGTGGAACATCCATAGTATTCACCTCTAGTATGTAGCTTCATCAGTTTCTGGTTTCGTTATAGCCTTCTATGACAGCACAACACTTCCTGGTTAATTACAGTAAATTACAAGTACCATCAGAAACAGATTATCATAATTATTATGTCTCCTCACTAAATTTAACTGCCAAACTTTAACCAGGGAAATACATTTTTCTACTTAAGTATTTTTGGCTTCTTTAATTCTAATACCTTATTCACATATTACAAGACAAAGTTCATACACAGGATACTTGCTAAATGCTCAGTACTATATTTCCCATTATACAGTATTCGTAGCAATAGCACAATTCAGTCCTCACACAAGCAAATTTCAGTCTAAGCTTTGCTAAAAATTCAGTGCACTATTGTAAGGCCTCGTCTACATTCTTTGTGATTTACTTACAGTACTACCAGGATAAACCAAAAATATAAGTACAGTATGTAAAGCATTGAAAAGGCTACTGTACAAACGAAGGTTGAACTGAATTTTTAGTTTAACAAAAAATAATAATACTGTGCAATAGTAGTTATGGTTACCATATTGCATAGTGAAAAGAGAATATTTTGTGTAGACATTGAAGGGCTGAAAGGCAAATATAGGTACAGTCCCTGCACAGATAATGCTGTTAAAAGAGAATTAACTTTTGTGCAGACTAACATTTACCATTCATTTATTTTCATTCACTGTATTGAGATTCCACAGTCTAGTGACAGCATGGTTGTACAGTATTTGTCAGTTGCAAAGGAATTTGTACTTGGTCCATAGTCACCTTCTGTTCAACTGTAATCATAGAACTATGAAAATTAGACTAATTATTGTAGTAAGCTACTGTACATGTCATGATCCAATTGATAAATTATTCTTACTGCATTAATAACGATAGAAAACAGTAACAAAAATAATATTATTTTTTAATTTATTTAGGAAATAGGACTGTTAATTATGATAATGTTATAATTTCAACGGGTGGTTTGGTCTGGCTGTACAGTGTGTTTTTGGAGGTTTGAGGGGTTTAACCATTTCAGCTTTTGTTTTAAATTGCAGTCCAAATGAGAACAGGTTTTCTTACAAAAATTTATAATATAAATGATCTAAAGAAATAATACTAAAATAGATAAATTATGATAATCATCGTAATGATAATATTTACTGTAAATAATACCAGTAATGATGTTGATAAAGAGTGTGTTTTTTCTTGAATAGATCTTTAGTTACAGTAAAGTACATTCTAAAATACAATGTCTGTTTTAAAACTCTATTTCAGAGTTCAGATGCTGTATAATTACAACTTGTTTCCTAGCAACTAAAAATCAACTTCATCCAAAACAGTAGCCCTTCTATGAGACTTCATTTCGCTAAGCTTTTAGATACTGTATTATTGCTGAGGTCCTGCAAAAAGCAGTGCCGTCAAGTTGTATGTTTAATAGGATATCCAAATTATTCTTTGCCATTTTCTGATTGGTCAGTTGTTTAATGAATAAATTTATAATAAATATGTCTGATTGTCACACTATAAAGTAGACATCCATTTAAAGAGTGAACAAAAAGTTTTGGAATGGAGAAAAAATACTGCACATACAGTAGTACAGTACCCTACGGTACTCAAAGATCCATATTGTACTAATTCTTTGCATTATTACTACAGTATGCCGTACTGTACTTTACTGAAAAACAAGGTCTGCTTAATTGAGGTCACAGTTCAGGCTAAACAACTTTTGTTTGCCCTGAAGGTGGGATCCCTATTAAAAGGCAGTAATCTAATGGGCTAACAAGTTCTGTCATATTACGTGGTACGTTGTAATAACAGAAGCGTGTGGATAGCCTTAGGTGGGCCTCAGTACCTTAGTGATGTAATTGCCATCGTAAACCACCAAAGTAAACATAAAATCTGGCTTCTCAGGTTTCTTTACCAAATTACTTTTTGTTAAGTCAGTTGAAGATTTGGAAGAATAGTGGTTGTTAATGAACTTTCTTGATTTATGAACTCTTAAAAATAGTGTAGCAATATAAAAGTTGACATTTTCATTCCTTCAACAAACCCTTTGTATTTTTCTTAATACTGTATGATTCAGGGTTGAAGTTTTTAAACAGGCTTTAGCTGAATAGTCATAAGTTTGATACAAGTACTTATTACTATACATTGCAATAACTATGAGAAAGAGACTTTACTATCAATATTTCAGTATTTCCATTGGCCGCATTCAGTAACTACAGTATGCTTCTTCTACTACTAGGTGCAGTACTTAAAATGCAAATTGTGAAAAGTGTATGGAGTATGAATGCTAGGTGGCAATTGTAATAACATTTAATGAACCTTCATGTAGTTAACCATTCAGTACAGTATATCAAATAAATAAGGGTCATGACTTGTGTTGATATAGCGCTATTGTATCCTACTAATACTAGTATGTCAAGGGGGGATTTTAATGCATTGTTAGTATTGATCTCTGCATTCCTGAAATAAAAAGTAACAAATGAATTGAAAGTACACACCGTGCATACATAATAAAGATTAGTATGAATAGTATAAAATACCATCAAATTTGCGATGCCAGATATGGTGGTGAGCAAATTAAATGGCCTACAAAGGTAAAAAAAATGTAAAATAATATGACTCAACATTTTTGCAATTTTTCTTAATGAAATTACGTTTACCATTGTTGTTCAGTGGAATGAGTAAGATATTTTACTAGTTTATCCTAAGATACTAGGCTCAGTACAATTTAAAAATATGCTGAAATAGATACCAGGGCCTCACCAAAATAGGAAATTTAAAATTTTCACAATTCCAGTAAAAAGGGAAAATAATCTTTACACTCCCCA